CATATATACAAAAAGTCAATATGCATTACCAGGGGTTTTGAGGAAAATTTTTGTTCATTCAAAGAAAAATCTGCAAAAATTACTGAAAATATATTCTCCATGTTTTGTTTATCAAAATTTGTTCTAGAAGAAGTGTACAAGAAGTGTGCAATAGCATAGATATAGACACTTAAAAAGAGCACACAATTCCTTTATGTATTGGAAATGTTCAACTCCAGGGAAAAAGATAATAAGGTCCAAACTACATTGCGTATGTCCTTAAACATTACATGACGTTCGGGAGAAGTTAAGCGTTGAGACTGCCAAGCCCCTGAAAAGAAACCAGAACTCTAGAACGAGATTTAATGGTGCAAATATCAAATCGGCAACAAACACATCTCAATGCAATTTAGCAATGAATTGTTTTGCAAAAATAAAATTAAAAGAAAAAAGAATTAAAACAAAAATTTCATTACAAAGCGTGGTACATTTCATTTAAAGGTTATTCTCTTTAAGATAAATTAATTTCCAATGCTAACAAGAAATTTAAAACGGCTTGGATAGTGTCATTTGGTACTGTAATTATTAATGTAATCAAACAAAATTAACTATCTCTTAAAAATTGTTAGGCACCGTAATTTTCCTTTGAAAACCCAAAATATGTTTTGCTTCTGTAGCTTATGCCCGCCCACCTTTGGCAGCAGTTTAATCAACTAAGTATTATAAAATCCATTAGGAGTAGGTAGAAAGAGAATTTTTAAAAGGTTTCATTTGCTCTTTTTATATTTATTATCAATAAAGATATATTTCATCGAAGCAATGAAAAAAACAACGCCTCAATTTCCGATGTGCACATTCTAATTCAACTACAGATCGATCATCCGCTCCTGTTGTCAATATTAATGAGGGTTGAATTGATATTAAATAATTGAGACAATCTTTAAAAAAAATGGTTGTCCTTTCCCGAAAGATTGTCTTAAAATGTCCCGACTTAAACATTTTTTTTACATAATAGGACACGATATATTTCTTTTTCACTTTATTCTTTTTAATTCGACAACAAATATGTTGAACTACGGGATTTTTTTTTTTCGACATACCGAATGATCCAATAATTTTACCCTAAGTCGGGATAGGGAAAGCAAAAGTTAATGGAAGGACGGCCTAACATGCATGAATTTTACGTGCTACATATAATTTGAAAAGAAAAGTGTTGCATTAAAGAAGACTTTAAGTCATACTTCATTTTCAAAAGCTGAGAAGAGAACCTCGTTGAGGAGGATTTTTTGTAAAAAATGGAAATAACATACCGGTAACATACCGATCACCTTATATATATCGACATTTAATTTTAGCTAGATAATTATTGAATCTTTATCAACGATACATAATGTTCAGGAATTGCTGTTATTCCTCTATATAATCGCAAGGAATACTTTTACATTCTCGTAAATGACATTTTCTTAATTACGCAAAAAATACAGTTCTCATGAATAAGACGTGATTACATGTAACAGTACATATTCTTATATGTACTGTGAAAAATATTACAGAATAAGAACAAACGAATGAATTAACATTAAGGAATGTAACAGAATCAAGTCATAATCTTAATCTGGAGATTCCGCAGTTGAAATATTAGTTCAATCATGAAGGTTGTAAAGTAATATTACGTAATTTTACCTGTTCCCATAATGATATATCAACAAATAATGCCTTTGCTTCATCTGATGGTGAATGTGACGATGAGTCCAAACTGTTCATCTCACATAACTGTATACTTCTCCAGTAATTCACTGATAAACATCTTCTTCTACTGATACATTCTTCTGTACATTCTATAAAACTGACTCCCTGAACGATGTCAATTAAGGCATCTAGTATTCTTTTACCGTAATGGATGTTCTTTTCTACATTTTGTCCAGAAAGACAGTAGATAAAAGCCATACGTAAGATCACAACATACGTGACATATTTTCTCATTATAAATATTATCTTATTATCTTGAAATATGAAAATATTCTGCAAGATAATACTTTCAGAGAACAAAATGTATGCAATCCAAAGGTCTATTTACATGTAACAGTAGTTGTATGTATTTATAGGGTTCGGTTTCGGAATAGCAATGGACCTTGAAAATTAATTTCAGCTTACGATTATGAATAAAACATTTGAATGTAGTCTCTTAGTCCATAAATAGAGTCGACACATACATGTATAATGATTTTGAATAATACATGATGATAGATAGAAAGATGAGTTCTCTTTTATCGCAGTCTTTTTAGTTCATTACGAATTTCAACTTTATACTCAACCATTTTCCACGATAAATTAGGTCCTGGTTTTAATTCATACAATTTACAGCTGCTTTTCCAATAAAAATGGAACTCTTAAATTTGCAAATTACCAATGACCAGGTAAGTAAATTAACGAGTTCCCTTTTTATTGAAAAGGTAACTGTAAATAAAAGCACACACAGGTACTCTGAAGTTGACATCAAAACCATGCTTAAATTTCTGATTGACAATATCTGTGTGCTTTTGGAGACCAGTTCTTCAGAGTTTTAAGAAGACAAAAAAAAAACTACTTTGGACTTTAATTCGACATTTAGATATATCGACGACGTATTCTTGATTAACAATGTTAATTTCATTCCTATTTCGATACTATATATCTGTAATATTTGGATGGCGTAACTTTGTATTACAAATCAAGCTGATTTGTATTCTCGAGTTCAATACACAACGTGCTGAATCAAAACGTTTATTTTATACACAAGCGTCTAACTGACTATGACAACAAACAAGTCGTACATAAAATATTCTATTATGACATCTCCTCCTTTTTTAAAAAAAATCAGTGTTTTAACTTATACATAGGTAATAAGACTTTATAGCAAAGAACATTTAACTTGACTAGATTAAGGAACTTGGCAAGTTATTTGCTTTGGACAGATCAAGCTTTGAATGTACATTTAAAACGTACAATTATTAAGTTACTTAACTTTTCAAACAAAAAAAAAAAATGATATTTCAACAATCATAACACAAGACATTCCAAATAATGAAGACAGTCCATATTATGCACAAGTCCATGTCACGCACAAGTCCGTATCCAATCTCAACGATTCATTCAAGGGGAATAAAGTCATTAAAACGACTAGGTTTAACAACTGTTCTACCAGACCGCGTAACAGTCGTAGGAGTTTCAGATTGCAATGTTTTTGGTTCAATTGCCTGGCTGGGATTCTCTACTGCTCGGAACGAATCGTTGTCAAAGTTCCCATACAGAGTGTCCGTTAGGTCAACTGTTTTCGGATTGTGTGTTTTACCAATAGGTCTCGGTGTAAATTTCACGTGCCTTCTATTGCGACGTATGTTTCCACGAGGAGTTTCAATGACGCATGTTCTCTGATCAGGGTCATAGCTCTTGATAACTCCTGTATCCTTCCACAAATTTTTATTGTCAAGTTTTACCAAGACTCTTTCTCCTTCCTTCAGACTAGGAAGTGGACGTACCGCATTATGCTTGTCAAAGTAGAATCGGTAACGTTCTTTGGTATCCTCATCATGACTGCGGACGGTATTTAGGTCCGGCCATCCTGGATTAAACGTCTTGTCCAAAGTAGGTAAAGCTGTTCTAATTCGCCGTCCCATGATCAATTCTGCAGGGCTTACGCCTGTTGCGGCAATTGGCGTTGATCTGTATGCCATGAGTGCTTTGAAAATATCCGGCTGTTTAAGAATGTGTTTTGCAATTTTGACTCCGCTCTCGGCCTCTCCGTTAGCTTGGGGATAGTGCGGACTCGAGAATAACTGTATGAAGTTATACTCCTTCGCAAATGTCCTGAAGGTTTGCGAGGTAAATTGAGTACCATTATCTGTAAATAGTATTTCTGGAATGCCCCATCTAGCAAAGATGTTCTTCAATTTGCCAATGACTTGGTCGCTGGTTATACTGGGTAGATAGGCTATTTCCAGATATCGTGAGAAATAATCCATGACAGCTATGTAGTGTTTATCGTCAATTTCGAATAAATCTGCAGCTATTCTCTGCCAAGGACGCTCAGGTAGAGTTGTTGTTTTTAACGGCTCTTTCCTTTGGGTAGGTCTCTGTGCCTGGCAAATTTCACAATTTGCAACTTTGGTGGCTATTTCTTTTGACAGACCAGGCCACCATACAGAGGTTGCTGCACGTTCACGGCACTTTGAAATACCCATATGTCCATCATGTATAGTTTCCAGAATCTCACTGCGAAGGACTCCTGGAATAACTATTCTGTCACGAAACAACAGAATCCCTTCAAATATGGAAAGTTCACTTCGCGCCGAAAAGTAGTCTCTAGCTCCTTCTGGTACTGAATTGATGTGATCAGGCCAACCTTGTTTTGTCAAGTTCATAACAAGTCTAAGTTCTTTGTCTAGATCTGTCTCTCGCCTTATCTGTTCTAGCTTCTGATCCGACACTGGTTTTGTCTCCAAAACAGAGTTAACATAAATGGTAATTTCTTCAACAGTGTTGTCTGTATCTGAATGCTTAGAAGGACTTCTGGACAATGTGTCTGGGACAACCATCTGTTTCCCTGGTACATACTCAGAATACACATTAAATCTGCGTAAACGCATAAGTAGACGCTGACATCTTACGGGTGTTCTATCAATGTCTTGACTATTGATTAAAGGTACCAGCGGCTTACGATCAGTAAGCAGTTTGAAACTGTCAAGTCCGACTAAGTATCTGGAGAACTTCTCACATGCCCAAACTCCAGCCAGGCATTCCTTTTCGATTTGCGCGTATTTAGTTTCAGTGTTTGTCATTGTGCGAGAACAATAAGCAATCGGTTTCAGATCGTTGCCTTCCTGCTGAAATATCGCTCCCCCGATTCCATAGCTACTTGCATCTGCACTCACAACTATGGGCTTTTTGGCGTCATAGAAAGTCAAGATTGGGGTTTTCGTGAGCATTTCCTTGATGCTATCAAATGCCTTTTGTTGCGAGGGTCCCCACAGCCACACAACATCTTACTTTAGGAGGATTGTGATGGGTTTCATGATAGTCGACAGGTCCGGCAGGAACCGTCCAAGATAGTTGATCATTCCGATGATCCTGCGCAGTTCATTCACATTAGTTGGCGCATCCAGCTCTTTGATTGCTCTGACTCTATTCGGGTTAGGACTAATGCCTTTCTCACTGATGATATGTCCAAAGTATTCTAGCTGTGTTGTCCCAAATTCACACTTGTCTTTGTTAAGTTTAAGTCCAGATTCTAGAATCCTGTCAAGCGTTTTCTTCAGGCGAGTGTCATGTTCCTCACGAGTCTTTCCATATATCAATATGTCGTCCATGATGACCTCGGTGCCCTCAAGTCCATGGAGTAGGGTTGACATCTCTCGTTGAAAAATCTCGGGTGCAGATGTTATCCCAAATGGAACTCTCTTGAAGCAAAACCTGCCCAGTGGGGTTATGAATGTAGTAAGCTTCCAGCTGTCTTCATGCAATGGCACTTGATAAAATCCACTAGAAGCGTCAAGTTTGGAAAAGTATTTTGCTCCAACAAGTTTTGGTGAAACATCGTCCAAGTTAGGAAGCATAAAGTTCTCTCGTTTAACGGCTTCATTCAGTTTCTTTAAATCCACACAAATACGGATTTTCCCATTCTTTTTCACAACAGGTACCATGGGGGCACACCATTCGGTAGGTTCAGTTACTTTTTGTATGATGCCTTCTTCCTCCATTCTTGAGAGTTCTTCTTCTACCTTGGGTAGCAAGGGAAATAGAACACGACGAGCAGTGCTCAAGCAGTAAGGTGTTACCTCTTCTTTCAATGCTATTTTCATTGGGTTACACTTGACAAGTCCACATGAGCCAAACACACTAGCTTCGTCAACACGGCAAATAAGTTTAAGTTTGTTAGCAACACTTCGTGCCAGCAAGTTACTAGTCTGAGGCCCTTCGACCACGTAGATGCTAAAGGTGTAGTCAATTCCTTTGAACTCCACGGTTGCGACAAACTTCCCTCTACAGTTGAGTTTTCCACCAGGACTCAGCAGTAGGGACTTCACGGATGTCAGCTGTGGTGGACATAGAATCCTATTGAAAGTTACATCTGACATAATGGTGATGTCGGCACCTGTATCAATCTTGAAATTTACTGGGAGGTCACAAACTTTCAAGGTCACTGTCCAAGGGTCATCTGTTTGGTCACAGTTTACAGATCCTAAATGAAATGTTTCATCAGGTGTTCCATTGTTTGAGTCATAAACATGTAACACTGCATGTGCTGATTTGGTGTTTTTGGTGCGACAACAAACTTCAAAATGGTTCATTTTGTGGCAAGCTTTACAACGTTGACCCATGGCTGGACATCTTCCCTCGGGTCCATGCTTACGGTTACATCTACCACACTGTTGAACACTTGGTTTCCTGTGACTATGTGCTTGTTTAGCAATGAAATGTTTAGGTGACTGCTTTCCATACCTTTTAACTTCATCCAGACTTTTGAACTGTGTAGTTTGGTCTTGGATTTGCTTTTTTACCATTTCTGTCTGACGTGAATACTGTATAGCCTCTTCTAATGTTAGTGTGCTTTTGAGCTGCAGCTTCTCAGAGACTTCTTTATCTTTTAGCCCAATAACAATCTGATCACGTATCTGATCGTTTTTGTCTTTGAAATCACAATGTTCTGCTAGTTCATATAAAGCTCTAATAAATGCTTCTGAAGACTCACCAGTCCCTTGTTTTCTTTCTCTGAATCGTGCACGTTCGTGTATGACGTTTTTCTTCGGGACGAAATATTCGTCATATTTCTTCATCACTTTCGAGTACTTTTTCTTGTCTCCCTCATCATCAAACGTAAGCGACTTGAAAATATGCTCTGCTTCTTTCCCCATCGCATATATCAAACAGTTTACTTGTATATCTTCGTCGTCTTTGTGTAATTTTGTTGCTATTCTATTGCGTTCAAACCTTTGTTTCCAATCCGGCCATTCACTCGGATTACTAAAGTTGAAACTCGCTGGTGGGTTAAACTTCGGCATCTTGCAGCGCAATGGATTGCCTTCACTTCTGACACCATGTAATATTTGGATGGCGTAACTTTGTATTACAAATCAAGCTGATTTGTATTCTCGAGTTCAATACACAACGTGCTGAATCAAAACGTTTATTTTATACACAAGCGACTAACTGACTATGACAACAAACAAGTCGTACATAAAATATTCTATTATGACAATATCCTAGTGAGCTTGAGATAAAAGATACTACAGAATCTGACTAATCTGCTTGAAGAAAAAAAACGTTAAAGGTAATCTAACAATCAAGCTATATGATAAACGTGATGACGTTAACTTTTCTATCTTCAACTTCCCTTATTTATGCAGCAATATGAGGATTTTTATCCTTCAGTTGATTCGATACGCAAGAGCATATTCTACGTACATGTATGAAATATTTCTAATAAAAAAGGTAAATTTTTGACAAACAAGTTGACGAAAACAAATTATCAGCAGTCTTGTTTAAAGTAATCATTTCTATGGTATATACGCTGATCTTGTCAGCAGATACAATTTATCATTGAGTTAAATGCTTACTGATTTATTACATACTAATTGTTATTTCATTATTTATGCAATAAATTGAGTAATTTTTTTTTGTTTTTTCCCGACAATGACAATGAGCTAACGGCAGATGCGACCGGTCAGCAGGGGATTCTCACTCCTCCATGGCATCTGATCTCACCTCCAATGTTTTGGAGGTCCTTGTTTGCTCTGCTCCTTTTCTATATTGTTTTATGGGCATTGATATGAAATAATATCTTTTATCTCCATATCCTTCATTCATTTTATATCTTAAAACTTTAGAAATCAGGTTGAATATAACCTTTGTTCATTTTGTGATTAAAAAGAAATTTTGCATAAATAAGTTCTTTACCTTAATTTTGTTCAAAGACAAAATCTTTTACATAAAGAATTTTTATCAATTTATTAACCATCGTTTATGATGACATGCAGCTCTTTTCAAAGTCTCCTAAAAAGACGCGCAAAATTTTCTCCAAATTGATTAGCAACGGACCAGTTGTTATATTCTTAATCGATCTCGTTCAGTGGCGTGCATGATTCGAACACATCACCTTCCGATTATTGAACAAGCACTTTACCGACGGAGCTACCGTGACGATCGAAGCATTTTTTACGGAATATCTTAATGTACATGTATTTTAATCTTATTGTTTTCAACATCCTATATAAAATTTATCATTTAATAAATTATAAACGTTTGTGATGCGATTTGTAAAGACAACTATTTCGTTTCAGAAATTCAGCACAATCTATTGAAACCGAGATAACAGAGTAAAATTTGCTGAAAAAATAGAACAAAATCGTCCGGAAATTGAAAAGTCTTAGTTAAATATGCTACTTTTATATAATCGCACGAAAAAATAAAGATATATTCAATGCAAATAAACAGAAAATACACAGAATAATCAAAATGAACACCAGATTAAAATTTGTAAAATAAGCAATATTGAGGCAACAGTTGCAAATATTTCAACTAGAAAAAAAGACAAGAAACAGTTGATGATATCACTACATTTGACCTCCTTAATATGACCTTTACTTTTACTCTCAAGAAAAACAGAGACTCCTTACAACTATATCTACATATCAGGTTTCTACTAGAAATGGATCAAAAACTACACTATTTAATAACAGATGGTCATATGGCATATAGATAGAATATATAAACATTGTTAAAAATATATGCTTCCTAATTACCAATATATAGAATTCTGCTTTATTTCAACAAAACTGGTGTTCTTTCTGAAAATTGAGTTTCAAATTAAATATTTATATCTTTTTCTACCTAAAACGACAATATTCATCAGAAATCCAAAAGAAATGTAACTAATTACAGAAATGCTTAAGTTATTGTTAATTACACAAGTAGATGGAGCAATAATAAATGAAATAAAGTGACATTTTATCAGATTAAAAGAAGCAGATGGATGATTAGATCTCGCATTAAACGGTTGAGAGACAAATCGAGAAAAGTCTATCAACCTGCCTTCAATAATTCATACGTGAAAAAATAGAGATCGATTTAAAGGATCTGCATGCATTGATTCCGCACGAAAAGCACAAAAATCATTTACTTTGTTCAGCTCACTGTTCAATTGTTTGTTAGGTGTTGTAGGGATCTTTTCAATGAACACGCCTTGATGTCGTCTAAATTTACTATTTATTCTTTACATTAAACTTATGTGCAATATTTTCAATGCATAATCAATTATATGGCATCCTTTTCTTTGCAGATTTAAAAAAAAATAGTAAAGAGTTGAAAACTTTGGGAACCGCTCACCACCAGTCAAACCAAAATAATTTAATTTTATTTGTATTCTCGCCTCTCATTGGTTGATTTCCAAAAAGGAACGCATAACATTTTGTATAATCTGGTTTGGTATGGGGACACACCCCCTTGACGACCAGCCTAATCATCATATCCATGCAATCCCCTCATTTCCAGTCCTCGGAATCCATGGAAAATTCCAGATTTAATAAATGTACCTTTAACTTTAAACAATTACTCGTTCTTACCTCATGTAAACAAACATCATGGCTGCAAGATCTACGTATCAGTTATTACCTCCCCTCGCTTCAAATCACTTCCGTTACTACGGTTGTATTATTGCGCGGTAAATTTGAACTTATAAAAAGCAACACAATTTTACATCAAAAGTTGTTTAATTATTTTAAAATTAAATTATAAGGAATGACTTTAATTCTTGGCCATATTATCGAGTATAATCTGGTTTGGGTCAGTTTACGCTTTTTTATAATCCGCTTCGCGGATTATAAAGCGTAAACTGATCCAAACCAGATTATACTCGATAATATGGCCAAGAATTAGAGGCATTCCTTAATTAAATTTGCCTTTCGAATATAACAGCGGAAAAATCCAACAAGACGTCTTTTTTTGCACGGACGAAAAAAGTTGTTAAGGTATTCAATGCATTATGAAGGGATTTTGAACGATTTAAAAGAATTTTAATTTTTCCTATAGGTGACTTCGATACGTCTCAACATCGGCAGGAATATATAACGTATATGTGACTTATAATAAGATGCACCGTGTTAAGCATGGGATGAGTTTGTCTAAATCTGTCTTAGTTAAGAATTACATTGAACATTTGTAATCAATCCATCATATAGAATGAGAAAGCAACGGGGCAGGAAAAAGACCATAATATGTGTACTTTGTATTTTAAAATTATATTTAACATGAATCACTTAAAAAATGTTAAATTTTTTGAATTATTTATATGATCTACATATTCGATTTTTTAAAAGGTATCATGAGAAATAAAATCTGGAATATGACTTATCATGATCCTTAATATGATTCAGGTAGAATAATTTATGTAATGGTTTCTACATTGCATGTATCATTTATTCAGAAAATTTAAACGAGTATCATATCTTCTTACGTCTGATATTTCGTTTTCATAAACGTGAATTTATAGTTATAAAAATAATATTCAACAAAAAAATGTTATCGTTTCTAAAGCATCAAAAAATTAACTTACGTTAATCAAAGCCTTTTATTTTGTAATAGTAAATCAACACGATATAACTATCTTGGATATCAGTTTGGTACATGTATATTTTATGCTATCCATTTAACTCATACCTACTCAATTATTCTAGGAATGAAATAACGTGACTGTTTTACTTGTATATTACATGTAATGGATTTTTTCCCCAATTTTCACTCCATATTTTCTATTAATCTAACAGTTTTCAAGCTTTATTTTTTTTGATAGGGTAGTGTGCCCCATTAGATTTTATTGATTCTGATGACGTACATGTACATTTCCGAGGCACCTGGCTTTTTGAATATTTAAAACAAAATAAGTTGAATTTTGCTGAATTTCCCCTATGGAAAAAATGTAAGGTTTTGATTTTTCTTATTCTGAATCTTCACAAATATTCACTTTTTTTAAAGAAAAGTTTTCCCAATTTGATCACGTGAAAAAAATGAAAAAGACTATTATTCTGATAGTATTGTTACTTACAAATTCTATAAAATTTCAATGTTAATGTTTCTAACAAGTCTTTTGATACTTAAATCTCTATATCAATTTCGATTTTTACAAACAAAATATCATTCAGAAATAACCCTAATAAAATATTACAATTAAGACAAAG